TTTTGAGTTGGATGGGAAAAACTCGTGGTTATCGGGTTCAGGTTCGAGTTTTCTTCAATTGATAAAAGCGGGGGCGGGGGCGGGGATGAGGATGTCAATACCCGTCCCGCCCCCACCCCCGCCCCCGCCCCGCTTAATAATATAGTTAAAAAAATATTTATATATATATATATATATAAACCAAATTTAGAAATATTCATATGTAAAAATTTGTATTATCTTACTTTTATTTTATTTTTAAATTTTTTTTCTTCATATTTATTAGAAATAAAAAAGAAAAAAAATAAAAAATAAATAAAAAGGTAGGAGTGGGGGCGGGGGCGGTTTAAATTTGCGGGGGTGGGGAACATAAAACCCGCCCCCACCCCGCCCCGTTGCCATGCCTAGCTTCAACTAGGGGGATTCTGTCTTGCTCACACCGAGTCCAGGATTGGTGGTGTTGGGCATGAGGAGAAGGAATCGTCTCAAGTTAAAATCTCATCAAGCATGGTTTGAATGACATTAAACGTGAGGTAAGAAAATTATCTCTACTTAGATTGGTGTTGGGGACTAAAGGAGTGGCAGTGTGAGGAGAAAGACTCATTTTTGCTTGGAATGGGGTCGAACATGGGACTTTGCCACATCAGATGTGACTCGTGAGGGCCTAAGGGTCTATATATACCTAATCCATGTCAAACATGGGTTGAATGACATCAGGTGTGGGTGAGGCAAAGGGTTCCCTGCCTCACTAAAATTGGGCGCAAGGTGTGTGGCGTCGAGTAACTATGTTTTCCAACATCACCAAGTCAAAGACCTATTAAGGCTCTTCGCTCGGTTCCATTCAAACCACGCTCGATGTCATCCCAACCTAATATGAGTCTTTCTCTTCACGCCCAATGCCATTGATCCTACGCCAATGTGATTGAGAAAAAATCCTCTAGTTGGAACTACGTTCAATGTCATGAAGGCACGTCCGATAAAATACTAGAAATTTGCAAATGCAAACTTCGAAAATCTCCTCCATCCACTTGAAATGCAAAAAATGCAACACATGATTTGCAACCAATACATGCATACACATCCTATAACTCAGAATTCACCCAGAAACAACACATGCACCTCCAAAGGAGATCAAAATCATTAATTATGCATCATTTTCCTAGCCTTCACCCAAAACTCTCACCAACACAACCTTCAAACTCCAAAATATCCAATTCATGCAACAATTGAGAATCTTACTCACATGCAACACAATCAATCAATCAATCAACCATTCACCCCAACTTCCCTAACCTCAATTCCTAGCCACCCAAATGAAAAAACGAGGAAGAGGAAGAGAAGAAAGAATCCTAAGTTCTTTAAAGAACTTCACACAACTCTAAACTAGCTTTAAGCTTCACGAACCTGAATCAAGACATACAAGCAAGGAGAAGAAGAAAATTCACGAACTCATAATACTTCTCTCTAAAACTTCTCTCCAAAATATAGAGAAATGAGTTTATGAGACTCGATCCTCAATAGAAACCTTATATACATTTTTTTCTGATAGCCGACTCGACCTCTAATCATAAATCCTCACAATTCACCTAAGTCACCTAAATACAGTGTTATACCAAACTCTCTTAAAAAGAAGTACTAACGCACTCAAATAATTTTAATTAGATTGATATAAGTTATTAAATGAATCTAATTTGATAAAATCCTTTAAAATAAGTATGTCATTTTATACAATTTAATGACTAGTAATCGGAATGTAAAAAATAAAAAAAGAGAAACTAAGTTATTTATTTATTATATAAAATAATTTTATGTAATCATGTTTTATCTAATTTCATATATTGTAAAGTATTTATTTTTTAAATCACAATAATATTAATTTTAATTAGATGAAACTATAAAAAAAATTAAACTAATAATGTATAGTTGTTAAAATGAAAAAAAAAAATACTAATAAATAAATTTTAACAGTCTCTTTCATACACATGATTCAATGATATATATTTTTTTTTAATGTGAACAATTAATAAAATCTCTTACATGTATACTTGTTAACGTGTTTAAAAGAACTTAATTATTTAGGTCATATGTATCAGTTATGCTAGACTTTATTATTATTTTTATATATTTATATGTATTCTTTTAGAAATAATTCTATCTAAATTATTGTTGAATACTCCTTTCATTTTATTTTATTTAATATTTAAAGTTTTACTTAAAGATATATAATTAATATGTTTGATTTGAAGAAAAAAATAATGCAACTTTTTAATATATCTTTTTTTTTTGGATTTTCACTAATAAAATAAATATTAAAATTAAAATAATATATTAATTAAAAATATATTAATAATAATTAAAAAATATAATAAAAATAATTTTATATTAATATTATAGTATTAATAATAATCAAATTAAAATAAATAAAAATTATTCATCAATCTCATATGTAACTTTTAAATACATTTTTTTTAAAATATACTCAAAATTTAATTTAAAAGTAGCTTATTAGTATTACTATTCTATACCATTAATATTTTGGTTTGTGCTCTTATAAAATAATTTAAAATGACTATTCAACTTGTTTTAAGGATGAATTCAATATTATTTATGTATACTTACTCTTATTATTTAATTATTATTTAAAATAAATAAATAAAATGTACATGAATGGGAAGAAAAAAAGAAAAGAAAAGAGTAAAAGTCTTGTACAATGGTCGTCTTGCCTAGTTGTATCTTCTTTATTATTCATCAATCTCATATGTAACTGCATTGCTTTCATAAAATAAAAGAATCAAAATAAAATGATATATAACGTACTCAACACTTAGACAACATTTAATACATATAATGTTTTTATGTCTATAGACCTTTTCATCGGACCTTGAACAACCACACCTTTATAACAATTAAGAAGGCTATTTATAAGTTATTTTTGTTTAAAGAATTTAGTTGTTATAAATCGTCACACTTTTTATAAGAAAAAAATTATTCATAATAATTAATTAAAAATTAACAAATTAAATTATAAAAAATCAATTATATTAGCCCATTAAATAATCATAATTTATGTTACATATAAATTTTAAATAATTTTTTTAAAAGTTAATAAATTTAAATTACATTTTAATTTTTGGAAAAGAATCTTTACATTATAAGTATATAAATTAGTTTATCTTATATTTATAATATATTTTGAAGTTAATTAAAATTTTCAATTATTATTTTATAGTTTAAATAATTAGTACATTTTACTTTTTAAATACATTTCTCTGAAAAAAAAAATATCAAAATTTCATTTAAAAGTATTTAAGTATTATCTTTTTTTTATATAGATAGTATTTTGGTTTTTATTACAATAAATATTTATTTTATAACACATAAATTTAAACATTTAAAAATTAAAAAGTCAGATTATTATTACAACCATATTATACAAAATATTTATTGGTTTCGTCGATTAACCGGTTGAAAAATCTAATTGATTTTTTTCTTTTAACTAAGGATAAGAATAGGTCAGATAAGACTTTAAATATATAAATCAAATCTATTCTATAAATTTAAAGTTTAAATTTGGTTTATTATCTATCATAGATTTTTTTATTAGCTTGTCCTAATTTTTTTAAAGTCTGATAAGGCCTTTTAACCTATTTTGTATTAATAATATTAAATAAATTAATAAATTAAATTTTAAATAAATTAACAATTATATTTTTAAATACATGTACAAGTCTTTATTTTATTTGCATGATAAGTCTTTTTTAATTTATATAATACAAATAGTTTACTCTATTATTATTAAAATTTATAGTTTAAAATAAAGATAAAAAAATTAATTAAGAGACAATACATACATACTCATGTACACTTACACACATGTTATAATAAAAAAAATAATCTTATTAAAAAGATTATAAATATTTTCTATATCACATTTAAAATATTATAAATAATCAATCATAAAGATTAAGAAAAAAAAGTAAGAAAAAATATAATTACTAAAATTTTATTTTTGATATATTAATTTTGGACAAACAAACATTTAAGTATAGTATAATTATAAAAAAAATACTGATAATTTAAATTCTTTATTGTAAATTTATTTTATTTTATTATACTATTAATAATGTTATAAATATATATTATTTATTATTATATCATAGATAAATACATTAATTTATCATACTTTTTAATTAATTTATACTAATTTAATGACTAATGACTGAAGTGTAAAAAAAATTGAGGAATTAGATTATGAATTAAATAATTTTATATTATTATGTAATATTTATAAATCAATCGCCTATAATAAAATTATTAATTCTATAATATTTACCTTAAAAATCAAAATAATAATAATTTTTAATTAATTAAAAATATAAAAAGATTTATGCTAACAATGCAGTCATTAAAAATGAAAAAAAATACTAATAAATAAATTTTAATAAAGTCACTTCTATACAGATAATTCATTAATGTATTTTTGTGAATAATTCAATAAAATCTCTTACATATACATATTTAAAAAATCTAATTATTTAACTACTCGTATCAATTATGTAAGACTGTATTATTTTTTTATATGTATTTTTATAGAAATAATTCAATCTAAATTATAGTTAAATATTCTTTTGTTTCATTTTATTTAATATTTAAAGTTTTCACACAAGATTTGAGTAATATAATTAATATGTTTGATTTAAAAAAATAATGTAATTTTTTAATATCTTTAATTCTTTTGAATTCTCACTAATAAAATAAATATTAAAAAAAATATATTAATTAAAAAAATAATTTATAATAATATTATAAAATGAGAATCAAATTAAAACAAATAAAAATTATGAAAATATCAAATAAAATAAAATAAAAGTACCAGAACAAATGAATAAGGAATGAAGAATAATTCAGCACCTTTGACAAGATCCAATTTTATTAATTTTTAGAGAAATTATCTTTAAGAGTTGTAACTGTTGGTACTTATAAAAGCTCCTGAGATTTGATAATTAAAAGGTGTAGAAAAATTAAATTCTTGCTCTGAATAAATGCAGTGCATATAAATGTAAATACAAGGCGTGAAGTTTACATTACATTCACAGCTCAGAAAACGCGAGGAACGTAAACGCAATAGAATAGGAGAGAACCGGGGTCAGCACAAGTACGTCGTCACTCCACAAACCTAATGACCGTTTAGTTTAGATTTCGACCGTCCAATGACGCAGAAGCAGTTCTTCGTTCGGCCGCTGCCGGCGGGGCGCAGCATGGTCATGACCGGTTACCCGGAGGAGACGGTGGGATCGGTTCTGTATAGAATCGAGTACGCCACGCGAGTTCCAATGGCCGAACAGAGACTCATATATAAAGGAAAACAGCTTCAGTTGGACAAGACTCTGGAAGAATGCGGAATCGAGAACGATTCCAACCTTCACCTCGTTGCTTACTTGCGGAGTGGGGGCCACCCCGCCGCCTCGCGGATTATTGACTACATGGTTGCGGTGCTCTCGCACGTTCGACGCGGCGACACCGTGCGTTACGACTTGAGGATAATCAAGGTGCTGGTCTCGCGCCACTTCCTCGTCCCTGGTTTCGCTGAGCTTTTCATGGATTCGAAGGCTCCCATGCTGCTGGCCTCACTGTACACGTCGCCTCCCACAGGTGGCGACAGGGACTACGCCGGGTATTGCATAAGCTATATCATGAATTGCTGCAGGGCCAAAAATTTGCAGGGTGTTTCAGTTGCGGCGGCCGCATTGGAGTTTTGCAAGCAGCTTAAGAAGTTTGGGTGTGGGTGTGAGGATAATATGTACTCCTCGTGTCGAAGCACTTTGGGGTTTTTGTTGCAGGGGACTGGGAATGGGAGTGCTAAACGGACGGTTTCTTTTGGTGATGTTGCTTCTTTTGTTCCTGAGCTTGTGGATAGGTTGATTTTGGGGTTGAATTGGAGTATGAAGTGTCCCACCACCCTTACTAAGCCCTTGGTGGTGGAGATTGTGGATTTTGGAGTATTTGTGGCCACTGTGAGGAGAAGAGTTATGGTGGACCAGGGGTTGGAAGAGGTTTTGAGTGATGAGATTGAAAAATGTAATGCAGGGGAGATGCATGAGGTGAAGGGACAATTGTTTGAGGAACATGTTGATTTTCTTCGCATTGCTTTTGTGAGGTTGTTGAGCAAGATGAGTGAGTGTTTTCATGTCATGGCCCAACGCTTGGCTGACAAGGAGCATGAGAGGAGCAATGTTGTTGGCAATATAGCATGGGGTAAGTATCTTCGTATCTTGAAGGAGTTGTATGAGATTTCCAAGGTCTTTCATGATGCGGAGGAACAGTTTTGGAGAATTTTGATGTATCATAGGAATATGTTGTCTGCACTGATTGTTGGGTTTGTGAATAGAGGTTTTGATCATCAGTGGATTCTTGCCAACAAAAACGTGACTAATTTTGAGTGTAGGAGGCATTTGGCAATGCTGCAGTTCCCTTGCGCAGAAGAAGATTATGAGCTGTTTCAGGAAATGCTTATTGACAGGTCTAAGCTACTGGCTGAGTCCTTCGAGTACATTGGACGAGCTGAGCCCGAAACTCTGCGTTCTGGTCTGTTTATGGAATTCAAAAATGAGCAAGCTACAGGACCGGGTGTGACGCGGGAGTGGTTTGTTTTGGTGTGTCATGAAATATTTAATCCACAGAATGCTCTTTTTGTGGCTTGCCCGAATGACTGCAGGAGATTTTATCCAAATCCTGGTAAGTTCTATCTGGAAATCTAAATGAATACAATGCATTGTTAGTGTTATTTTCAAATTGCAAATGTTTGTCTAGGGATTACATTGTTCATGCGTCCTTTCCAAAAGAAATATACATATGAAAACATCTTTAGAATGTTAATAAAACAATCTTTCTTGAATATGTTGAACTAGCTTTCAGGGGATAAAACCCTTGTGCCAATAAGAGAAGTTTAGAGCTAAAACAAAGCCTACTCCATCACAAATGACATCTAGCTAAAAAAACAATAAAATAGTTGTGTAAGTGAAGTGCTAGCAGTTGACTGCAGCTGAAGGGTGGCAAACTTGGGGGCACATCCACACAGTTTAGTTGAGGACAGGTCATTTATCTTTTTATCATTAGCAATGGTTCCTCTGGCTTGCCGAGTTGATCCACTACCCTTCATCTTTTTAAGTGGTCCACCATAAGGGAATTCCCTTTGGACAGGAATGCACTCAGCTGGATCCCCATGGAAGGCCTTGGGACAGTAATGGGTGGACTAACCTGTTTTTTTTAGCCATACTGAAACAGAGGGTTTGTTCTTCCATCCTTGTTTTTGTGTTGCTTCCTTTAAGGTAGTGATGAAATAGTAAAGATTTATCATTCACTGCCAACATCTGCTTTAGTTAGATTACACATCCAGTTTTTTTTTTGAATGGGTGATTTAGGGCACAAGATGTACGAGATAAAATTTAATGCACGAATGAAGAAGAAAGAAGAAAGAAATTTAGTGATGTTGCCTGGTCAGATGTGAAATGGTAATGAGCCTGTCCACCAATCAACTCATGGTGTGGAGCAGCCCATTTTGTATTGGTTATGATGACTACCCTGCAGAAAAAAATACTAATATTTTAAATGCACCTTAAAAATGAGTTGTGAGCATCCAACAAAGAAAATGAATCAGAGGTATGTGATATGATTATAACACCAGCTAACCAGTATCCCAGGATCTTTAAGGAATGATGCACTGGCTTCTTATTTGTTATTCTGTTAATGTTCACATTCTCCATTGTCACGTTTCTGTATGTCATTTAAGTAAAATTGGATAATTTGAAGTGTGAGGTGAACGGTACATTGATGGAAAAGTCAAGGGTTATCTTTCTATATATCCATGAATTGTTATACGGATTGTTGTACTTTTTTAGAAAATTAAATTGTTCACCTTCTCATCAGTATTAATACTCTGTATTGCATAACCTGTCCAATCATTAGCATTTTGTCACAAAACTTGAGTTCCCATTTGTTAACATTCGGGACTACGGTTGCTTAGTAGTGATTATTGATGTGTTTTTCTGTATATCTTGTATCAGTAGATATAGTGAGAACTCTTTTGCATAATCATGTTTAGTTTATTCTTTGTCTACTTTGTCTGCAGCATCTAAGGTACATCCTCGCCATCTTGAGTACTTCAGGTTCGCTGGACGTATCATTGCATTGGCATTGATGAAAAAGGTGCAAGTGGGTATTGTTTTTGATCGTGTGTTTTTTATGCAATTGGCTGGAAACAATGTTATTTTAGAAGATATACGGGATGCAGATCCTTTCTTGTATAGAAGCTGCAAGCTAATATTGGAGATGCATGCTGATTTCATTGATTCAGATGCATTAGGACTGACATTTGTTAGAGAGGTGGAGGTATTAGGATGCAGGAAAGTGGTTGAGCTTTGCCCTGATGGGAAAAGCCTTGTAGTGAATAGCAAGAACAGGGAGAAGTATGTTGATCTTCTTATAAAGAATTGTTTTGTGACATCCATATCTGATCAGGTATCACATTTTGCCAAGGGTTTTGCTGATATTCTTTCCAATTCAAAGCTGGAACAGTTCTTCCAATGGTTAGAGCTTGAAGATCTTGATTGGATGCTGCATGGGAGTGAAAATACCATATCGGTTGATGATTGGAAGGCACATACCAAATACAAGGGCTATAAAGAGACTGATCATCAGATATCTTGGTTTTGGGAGGTGTGTAAGATACTGGTCTTCCTTTGTTTTTTCTTATCTTTTTCTCTCTCTTCCCCCGCGCTTTTCTCTTTTTTTAATATTCCTTTGCTAATGTAATTTTATTAAACTTCTTTTTAACATTCAAGACCATAGTAAATCAATTCTCCCCCATATGATTTTGTTTTATAAGCAGGAA